CATTCCTGCCCCAGCCCCTCTTCTTCATAACCTTTCAGGGTAAAGGTCAGTACAGGTATGTACCAGCAAGAGCTAAATTCACAGTTGCATTTTGGATGGACCTACAGAATCTTTTTTTAAATTTTCTCCCCGGTGCTTCTGCTGTCAGTTCCTTTGTCTGGAAAGCCTTTACCACATTTTCACCTGGTAATTCTATTATCTTTGAAGCCCTGGTTGAATGTTATTATCACCATGAAGCTTTCCCCAGAGCACAGGCAGAACAAATCCTCCCTCTACAATACACCTGTTCCTTATCAATACACCTGTAACACACATAGCCGAGTAGACATGGTCACTTCACATGACAATTCTTTCTGGTTAAATGTAAGCTTCTCAGAAGTAGAAATAATGTTTTTCGTGAATCCCTAGTCTCTCGTTCAATAGCTGACATTTAGAAAGCGCTCAGCATATGTCTGTTAAATGAGATGGATCAAGGGCTACTTTGGTGCTGCTGTGGAAACACCTTGCTCATCATGCAATGCTGGATCCATATTGAAGATTTGGGTTTGGATCTCTGGTTGGTACATGGCTGGTCAGGAATGCTGGAGACGGAGAGGTAGTGATTAGAATCCTTGTTGAGGGTGCTTGTCTCTTTCTCTAGCTCTCTCTATCTCTGTCTCTCATGTCATGAAAGAAGGAAACCTTTTTGTTTGTTTGTTTCTGCCACAGGGCAAGTGCACTTGCCAAAGAGACAGAGAAAGAGAGAGATAGTGAGAGGGAACATGAGAAATGACCCCCAGGAGGGGATGGTCACACTGCAATACCCTCTCCATTCTCCTCCTAGGACCTTGGGCACATACGCGCACACACTTGGTGTGAATTTCAAGTCACTAGGTCCAGGACTCGAACTACAGTCAGCCATGTGGGAGTCCGGTGCCTTAACTACCATGCCATCTGTTCACCCCAAAAGAAAGAAACTTTAAAGAAATTAATCAGGTCAAATAAAGTGAGAGTAAACATAAGCCTTGCTCTATTGCCATAGGAACACAGTCAAGTGCTAGTGAGGTTCACTGTGTAGCCTAGGGTTCTGGAAATACATTCTTATGAGCCACATACAACTTCTCCCTTTGCCTGGAAAAACCCTGTAGAGTCCCATCATCTATCCTCAGGGTGAGGAACTGGACCAGCCCATCTGCCACCAATTTAGTAATTACTGTTGATAAAAATAGCACCATGAAGAATGTCTGAATGGTGAGGCACGTTAAAGACACCCCACCCTTTTCCAATCAGAAGCAAATGGGCACGCTCAGTTCTGTCTCCACATCTGCCCTGCACACTCAAAATGGGCCTGAGAACTGGCTTGTGTGAGGCTCAGAAGATGAACCCTGATGTCCAAGAGACATTCACAAGGAGTACTTTTCACCAGCAGAGCTCAGCAAGAGCCAAGGGGTTTACTACATAGTCTTCCCTACCTGCAATCTGTGCCCAGTTTGTGCAATGCATGTAATAAAAATATAATAAAACAAGAGAGTACAGCAGGAGTCTCTTTGGAATAGAGTTAGGAAGAGGAAAGTTCCACAGAGACCACATTAGAGCCTGCCTATGGGATCCCTGAATTGCCCCCCTCAAGAAAGGTAATGAGAAGGTTTCTATCATTCAGGTAGTGCTAGGAGTGGGGTTTGCAGGGGATGGAGGGAATCTTCAAAAAGCTGAAGTGAAGGAGAAGGGTTCATGGCTTTGTCTCTCTCAGGCTCTATTTTATTTATTTATTTTTTTGGTAGAGTTGATAGTCTGAATTGACCATGAGTGGAAAGGCCATGTTAAAGTTTTCCAATGGCCTTGGCATTGTTATGGCAATAGATCTTGGGAGAATGTACAATCAGCTGAACACCCCACAAGATCTTCCCGGGGTCTTCCCACTTGGCAATGGGAGTAGAAAGGTCATAGAGTACACAGAGGAGATAGGCTCAGGAAGGGAGATTTGGATCATTTTGTAGAGGATCTTGACAGTCCTGCTAAAAAATTTGGGTCCTGCAGTGTAACGTATTATATAGGAACCACCAATTTTCAATTAAAATTTAATAAAGTACATACTATGAGAAAGTTCCACTGGAAGTATTTAATACCTTTAGCAATTTAAAAACACTCTGGGACCCTGCAGTGCCAAGGACTTATCATCAGGCACATGATATTGATTTTCTTTATCCTTTCATGAAGAAAGTATTATGGAATTGGAGTTGACTGTGGTGACTATAGATGAACAGACATTAGTGTGATGGTCATGACCTTCACAGCTGCCTCCCTAAGTATCTGCTCAGGGGGGCCAAGGTGAGGTGCTGATAGTGCCCATAGACTGAAGGCAAGGAAGCCTCAGGGCTGCCAGGTAGAGCGTAAGACCAAGGCTCGCAGAGAGCCACATGGGAAGGACTCTACAGTTAGCTATAGCTTGTGAGCCCAGTCTCCAGCTCAGCCCCATTCTTGTCTTGTCCCTCATCCTGCAGGTGTGGAGTTCTTTTCAAGCTCCTTTTGGATTGTACTAATATACCAGTTCCTAGCTCAGTTCGGGGTCACCCACAAAGTTAATAAATAACGTTTTATGTATTGAAGAGATGGTTCTACTTCCTTTTTTCTCTAAGGATTTAGAAACCGGCTCTTTCTCCTATGGCAAGCTCTTGCCCCTCAGCCCACATCGTATGTGTTAAAAAGAGAAAGAGCAAGTACAGCAAAAAGAGTGGATGAAAGCTCACTTTGCCAAAGAAATAATCATCTACTTACTCATTCTCTTGAGAAGGATTTATTTATCTCAGGCACTGTGCTAGGCATGTGACAGAGATGTAACATTTCAAAGGGTTAAAATTTTGATCCTGTGCTTAAAGAGTTAAAAGTCTAGTAAGGTTGAAAGAAAAAGGAACAAATAATTACAAAAAAAGGTTTCTGCTTGGTGTAGAGAGGCGTGTGTCCAACACTGGTAGACTAGAAGGGGTGGGGGTGGAGGAGCTGGGGAAAAGTTCACTGTCAAGAGAGTGGGAGAAGGCTGCGTGGAGGAGGAAGACGGTGTACTTCATTCAGAAGGTTTCTGAAGGACAGAGAAGCACTTGCCAATTGAAGATCCTAGGTAGAGAAGTTAAAGATGGACTGTGGATTGAATAGGCAACTTAATTAATATAGGTAGTTCTATCACCCAATAGGAATGACCTTCGAGTGATGAGAAAATGAATTTCTTGTCTATATTAAGCATAGTACCAGAGGTTTTTACATAGTATATTTTAAAGTAGATTGACTTATTTGGAGAGAGAGAGAAAAAATCCCTCAACAAAGTCTTCATGCTGTAATCTTCCTTCCCATGGGTGAGCCAACACATTCAGGTAGGCCCAGATACAGCACCTGAAGCCTTCCCATGTGATCTCCAGCATTGCATAGCAGTGCCCCTACTGCCGGCGCCACCATGACTGGGCCATTTTTGCATATTATTTTAGATGGATTTCTTCATGATCCTTATTAATAATTTCATTTTATAGATGAGGCTCAGTTAAAAAAACAAAAACAAAAGTGTTATAAAGGTGTGAAAATTGCCCAGCTTTTAGAAATGGTCAGTTCTGCTCTTAGGTCAGTTTTTTCTGGGAAAGTATGACCGATAAGGAGGGTAATGGTGGTGGTGCTCAAAATGACCTGTAGTAGTAGATTTACCTATGAGATTGTATTCTTATTAGTGTCTGTCTTGTCCTAAATTTTTTGGTCCTTGAATTTTATTTTATAGTATCACAAAAAAATAGAACCATAAATTTTGTTGACTATTTGCATAGTTTACTTCATCTATTAATATGTTCTGATATTACTTCTAGAATTTTTAAGTTCTGTAAGAAGGGATTTCCATCAGTATTGTTTGCAGTGTTATTTTTAGAATTTGGATAGTGCCTGGCACACAGGAAGAACTCAATAATATGTCTTCTGAATACATGGATGAATGAATGAGTGCTTCTGATGCTTAATACTTTTTCTTTGGGATAGCATATTGTGACTCGATGAGGGAAGTGAATTGTGTACCTGCTGTTCTCCCCTCCCTCCACTGGGCAGGTTCATCTCCTGTATGGTGTGGTTTTAAAAATTCAATACCATCTTCTGCCCATGACATGCCACCATACTTAACAGCTTACCATTCTAATGAATTCCAACTCCAAGAAGTTTTTGTAAAAATGAAACTGTTGAAATCTTTGATGGTATAGCTACTTTAGGACTATCAAAGAGAAATTTCATAATTTTTGGACAACTAGCTGACATGTCCCATAAAGACATACA